TCCAAAATTATTATCTGAATTTTATTGACTTGCTAGAGTTTAAAAGGGCATCTAACAGTCAAACAGAGCATGTTAATATTCAGCAATGATAATATATTTGGTGCCTAGGTTTGCTAATAATAAAAACTGCTTCAACTGTAATTCAGTGTATTGGTGCAATAAATACAACTATCTATTTTTGTTATTAAACAGAATCAATGGGACAACTGGGTTAAGGTTAGGATTCATAGCTGCATCATACTGCTGTTTCCTTTGAGACAATAAAGCAATTCCTTTTTTTTTTGTAAAAAAAAAAAAAAAAGATGCCGGAACTCACACATGTCATACAACCCGCCTTGCCTACCCTAGAAGGTTCCATCCAAAAAAAGGTGCCGGAACTCCGTTCTGGGCGTTCTATGACAAAAAAAGCCCTGCCTGTAGCATTTGTAATATTAAAAAATAAAGCTATTTCCCCAACAATGAATTCAACACTTTATTCTGAATAGAAATATCTTGACTATATCAAGACTTACTTTAGGTAAGCATAAATAAATCTATAGTTCTATGCAAATAAATTAATTATATTTAGTTGTGTAGATACATATCTTTGGACTATGAATTAATTTGAACATTGCTGTTTTCTTAGAATTAACTAAGGGCTCTTATAACTATAATGGTGTCCACCACTTCTTGAACCTGCAGGAAAGTATGCAGGCATAAATTGTTCATTCCACCACCTTCCCCATCCCATCAATTCCAGGCATTTCCTATTCCGCCATTGTTATTCCAGCAAATGGTGCTTTGCTGACAGACAAGGAAGAAACGTTCAGAAATCAGGAAAGAGAGTCCCTTTATTTCTCTTTAACAAGCATCATCTACCAGCGGGAAAACAGCCACCAATCTCTCTCCCTAACATGAAGCAGGATGAGATTGGGTGAATTTAAATTGATTTTTGCATGGCAGGTTTAGCATTTCTCCAATTACCCATGTCACCGATGGCAAGTGCTAAGGGGAGGTGGCGGGATGCAAGGTGAAGCAAAAAAGAGTCTTCCTGATCTTCCATAGAGCTTGCCTTTGTGTCTCGTACCTGTCATCCAAGCTGTTTCTGTATAATGCTTTTCTGAAAATGGACTAAATTGAGAAACAGCACAGCTGACAGGTAAGATACATCCAGCCCAAACGGCGTTAAGGCAGAAGCAATTGACCTCAAGTCTAGCAGCAACCAGAAGTAGCTAGATAATAGTCAAAGAGAACTTGAATGCTAGAGCAGACATCTTGAGTCACACAAATCTGAGTGGCTTACTTGTAACAACAATAGTCATCACCATAGCACCTACTGCTAATAAAGCTGGTATGGAATGAGCACAGTGATGGCCGCTCTCCCTCCAAGAGGGACATAATATTGTTAATTCTCTGAAAAGTAATAAGTAAATAGTTGTGAAGCACTGCACAAAGTCATGGAAACTGCAGCAGTGTGAGCCTGGCCTTAGGTCATTGACCAGAGTGATAGCATTTTTGCATAGGCCCTCAGAAATAATAATTTTTAAAAAAATGAAAAAACTAATGTCAGCCCAAACTGTAAAAAACCTGTAATGCCCGTAACACATAGCAGCAGAACCTGGCTTTCATTTTCCTGTTAACTCAGCCTGTATAAGGCAGGATCAGACTCTTTTAGAAACATTAACCAGTGTTTAAAAACAGGTCCAATGCTCTCTTACAAGATCTCTAACCCTGTATTTATAAGGAGGCTGTGTAAGACCTGACAAGCACTATTGAAAGCAGCAGTCAGATATTGCTTGGACAGATGCAGGAGCCAGGAGCCAGGAGCCTGCCTTGCAATCCAACCCAAACCGCGGAAGGAAGAGCTCAACAACCACAGGGAATGGAGTGTTCTCACAGTAGATAGAAGTGGCCAATAAGAGCTAAGTAGATCACAATCCCTGAAACTATTCACAGCAAACATGTTGTGATTAGAAAGCACTACAATATGATTGGAGCAGGTAAGGAGAAGCTGACGGGTGCTCTGTGCTCTAAGCTTTGTTGTTTTCTTGCAGACATTTTATTACCCATGTTTCATCAGTGCTAGTAAGGAGTAGGGTTTGTTCCCAGTTTATATTCTAGAAGTTTAAGCTGCCTCAGATATGGGCAGGGCATGAAATGAACGCATGATGTTGCTGGGGTATGGCCATGCTGTGGTTAAGGACAAAAGAGGAAGCATCTGTATCATTTACTAGGACTTCCGCTTTCTTTTAGTGTCATTTCATTCAAGAAATTGGCAGCCGTCAATAATATTTATTGCTTTGGTATTATAGTCTGACATAAAGATATTGCATTTTTTTTCCAAACCATGTATATAGATCAGTGGTGGCGAACCTATGGCACGGGTGCCAGAGGCGGCACTCAGAGCCCTCTCTGTGGGCACGCTCGCCATCACCCCAGTCCTAGGCCTTCAGCTGGGTTTTATAAAACCTTTTCGCTTTAGGCCTCCACCACCGTGTGCAAAAAAAAAAAAAGGTTCAATCTATCAGTCAATTTCAACTTCTCGTGGGAAAAAAAAGATCTTGCAAAGTTGGAATTGATTGATTGAACTTTTTAGTCCCATCAGTCTGCCGTTATCGCCGCAGCCATGCCCAGCCAATGGGCCACACCCACCCGGCACCTGACGATGCATAAGTGGGTTTTGGGTTGCAATTTGGGCACTCGGTCTCTAAAAGGTTTGCCATCACTGATATAGATGTATACTGCTCACAAAAATAAAGGGAACGCAAACCCCTTCAGCTCCATGGTAAAATGTTCCCTTTATTTTTTTGAGCAGTATATATAGATATCAGACTCGGTGAGAAAACCTATTACAGCAATCTACTTTCACCCTATTTTAACATCTCTTAATGCAATGTTCTTCTTGTTAAACATGGCCTTCTCACATTGCATGCAAGCACTAAGAGTGGCATTTGTATCATTAGGCCAGGATGCATGTTTCATCATTTGTGTAATCATTGCAGTTAGCACCCGATGCCTCTAATAATGCAGCTCTAATAGCAATATATTTAAGTGTTTCTGTTTATGGTAACACTTGACTGCTGGGAACTTAATCAATCCAGAGTTTTACATTAGCTCAAGTGCCAAACATGATTTCCATCCTTAAGTCAATTTCTAAATAATTTCACACGTTGGCAAGGCATCTTGCTTAACCCCCCCCCTCCCCTTTGGTCAAAAATTCAGACCAATCCAGGATCAGAAATAAAAATGTGCCTTCACATAATAAGAAATGTCCCTTCTGCCTATACTGCTTGTTTTTCCCTAGTTTATTTTGTTTATCCTTATACACTATTTGAGTAGAGTTACATTCACAGACATTGGAACACTACTGTAGGAGCACACTATGTTCCCCTACCAGGAGCTGAGCTTTTCTGCAGGGTACACTTTTATTTATTGTAGTATAATGTGGCTAATATTAAGATTGGGAGGCACATCTGAGAAGCTTGCCTTGAGGCCAGAAAAACATTGCTTATGCCTCCATTACTATGACCTCAGCCTTTTTCATTCATGAGATGGGTAAAGATAAGAACAATTTCATGGGAGATAGGCAAGAAATTGCTCTCTTCAGTGATTAATTGTATATAGTAAATAGAAGGATGAATGGATGGGTTGTGTTTGGACTAGGATGACAGCAAACATTGTTTTATCTTTCCAGTAAAAAGGAACCATAGATGCTTTGGAATAATTTGATTTTTCTATATATGTTTTGCCAAAATTAGTCTGCTAGAAACAAAATATGGCTTTGTGGGACAGAGATACATATATTTTATTCTAATTACTTGATTGTTTGGAAAGTCAACAGAACAAAATTGCTTACAAATGTCTTCTCTTTTCAGTCATAGAAGCCTGACTCACACATTGGGCTAATTTATAGTGTGATTAGTTTTCTTCTTCCCATTGAACTACTTGAAGAAAGCACAAGGTGGACTACAGGGCACAGTTATACAGAACTATGGATGTGGATCAGTGGTGGGATTCAGCCAGTTCGCACCAGTTCAGCAGAACCAGCAGCTAATTTTTTGTTGCCCAGGCATCCATGCAGAGAACCGGTTGTTCACATATTTGAATCCCACCACTGATGTGGATGTATTTCTCTGTGTTGTAAGGTGGTGCTAATATGTATAGTTGCAACAGTTGGCTTCTCTATGTTGTAAATATCTATCCAATTGGTTTGGTTACTAAATCATGAACTATTTTTATTGGTTTATATTTCTGTAGTTTGACTTGTACCTTGATAAACACATATAAATCCTCATCATCATATACATACCCATATATTTTCATATCCAAGAATATTGATAAGTCGGGGAAGAAAATAATTTTAAATTGGAGATGGGCAACTTAACCTCCATATATTGCTAAACCTCGACTGCAAGTAGTTTTATTTAATATTTTCAATAACGAGGCATTTTGGAAGTTAGTTATAGTGGAAGGGGTGGGGGGGCTGTTGTGCTATGATCCATGGGGTAGTGAAGAGTCGGACACGAATTAGCAACTGAACAACAACAAATGGAAGTTAGTTACCAGGACCTTGTTATAAAAGAAGCTCACCCCTAGAAGAAGTATTTTACAGAGAGATGGGCAGATACAAAACTTCTATTATAAGCCCTATAAAGATTTATCTTCATTGCACCAACAGTTCTACAGTCTGATCCTCAGTTAATACTACCCGTCATTTTATGTGCCTTTATAGTGTCTATACAGAATATGTACCGGTATCAGTTGCTTGTAGGAAAATATGTACATGATTATAGTCTTTGCAAAGTCAAGATTGATCCTTTACTTAAAAATTTGTCTACTGTTGCTTTAATGGCAATTTTCCATACATCCATTCAATAGGTTTTTGCTAGAGAAGGACAGAATGATGAGAGTATTGAGTGTACACTAAGGTCAGTATCTGTTTGAGTTGCCATGACTTCAAATAACCCGGAAATAAATCAGAATTATAAAGGCAACAAAGGTGTGCATTTCAATCTGTGTATGTTGGTACCATAGTAACTGTTAATCAGGGAAGGTAAAGAGGTTGATAAAACTGGTGGAATTAAAATTGGGAGGCTTACTGAAGTTGCAGACATTAATTCCTGCATTTCTAAAGAAACAGAATCAGAGGGGTGAGTAGAATACAGAGAAAAAAATAAACGGGGGAGGGAATTCAATTCTGTTTGATGCTTTGTTATTATTGGAGAACTTCCACTAACAAATTACAGGGAAGATTGCAACAGAACCATTACTGTTATCAGTTTTACTGAATACGATAATACTCTGTTAATCGATAATACTTTTTTGCTTGACGATGTTCAGATATGTTGAAGTCTATCCCTGCCATATTTTCCTGTCAGAATTTCCCTTTGGTCATGCTAGGTAGATGTTTTGTGAGTTGCATTTAGACACATTCAGATGGATCATGTTGGTAAAAGTTGAACTGAAGATAGAGGATGAAAGCCAAGATTTTTCTATGTGCAGTAAGATGTATTTGGTTCCCTCCCATATTGTAACTACCTCTTTATATGGAAAACATTACTCTTCCTTTTCTTCCATATAAAGTTGCTTCTAAAAATTGAGACAATCCCTGGAATGAATTTTCAATTGAACTAGGAACTTGTCAGTCCTGTTCACTTTTCCTAATGGAAACATTTCCCAAATACACATTGACAGATCTCATCCCAGACATAGTATTTATTAGTGAACACCAACAGAAATTCCATTATATACTGTCAGAATAATCCATTATTTTCTTCCCCAAATGCAGCCTTCTTAAATGGCATTCGCAAGTGGATACTGGAGTAAAAAGGAAGTGCATGGAAATCCTCCAACTCCTAGGTACGGCATACTGGTTAAAAAAAAGAAAAGAAAACAGTCCTAATTTATGTCTCTGCATTATACTGAAATATAGTACTAAAATATTCAGTGAACTGTTATATTTCTTTTTCTTGGCTACCTTTTATTAGAATTTAATTTATAAATAAGTTTATTGGGAATAAAGATCTGATAGTATGACTGTGGTTAGCTCAAGGAAACTATCCTTGGCCTATGTGAAATCTGTTAGTAGATTTTCTTGATTAATAGTTATATCTACAAAGCATGTATATGTGCGTGCACACCAGTATAGTTTCCATAATATCCTTGGTCAGTGGGCATAAGAGTTATACATTTTATTTTTGTATATCATATATTGTATATTATATAATATGCATTAATATATAATTAATATATAGTATTGTTTTGTGTGTTTATGTAACATAAGTATGATTTTATAAAACTGAGTATAAAGTGGTATGAAACTTCTTCCAAATATCAGTTGTAGTCATCACAGGCACTTATTTCTTACATATTTCATCCTATTGCTGATATATTTTTCTAAGGCTTAAATGATTTCCTAGGGATCCCCCCAAATTTTGTGCAGTTTAAATAATCTCCCTGCTTCCCCCACTCCCACCCCAATTCTTGATTCTAAGAGAACAGTCGTATCAAGGGATAGCCATGCATAACGTATCATGGAAACCAAATAACAGGCCATTGCTCTTGATAGTAAGACTTACCAATGATCAGCAGAGACTTAAGATCAATGCCTCATCTTTTATCCTCTCCCAATGAGAATGATGTAGAGCATTGGTGTCAAACTCGCCGGGTCACGTGACGTGTTGCAATGTATTACGACTTTTTTCCCATTGCCAGAGCCGGGGTGGGTGCAGCCTCCGCATGATACAACCGACCCGCAGGCCGGCAGTTTGACACCCCTGATGTAGAGAAAGACTTTGTGTGTGAAAGAAGATATTTTTGAACTGGAAAAAAATGCAGACAAAGAAATGACTTATGCCCTACAATTTCTAGCTCCTCCTAAAGTTTATATTGCTGTAAGATTGACTCCAGTTCCTTGTGATTATATAACCTCAGCAGCTGAGCCAATTTAGTTCTGTGGTCAGCTGTGCTGTTTTTGAAATTGTAGTGAAACTACAATAAGTTTGATTTTTGGAGAACCTTCAGTTCTCTGAAGCCTGTGGGCAATCTGTTTCCTCCTTTGTGGAAACTCCAACTCAAGCCACCTTCTGACTCCTGACCTGCAGCCTTTCTGCTTTTGTCTTCCAAGGGAAAGGTAGCTGGAAGGATTTTCAGCTCCCTCCCCATAAGGACCTAGAATTTTATTTTAGTGCAGACAGACAAATAAATGCGTAGTAAGTTTACACATAGAAAGGTATTTACATGGATCATGTGCAAGTGATTTCATCTACTTTTCTTCACTGCTGGGTATGTTTATTTTTCCCTATTGTTATTACTGCAGGGTCTGTAGAAGTTCAGGGAATACTTGCAAGTTTTTGCTCCTGGTTTTAATAGATCTGAGTGATTGCAGATCCTCCTCACACAGCTTTGGAGGGCTTGGCAAGAAGAGATGGTAGCAGTGTGAAAGGGAACTGAGGTTACTTTCCTTTCCCAAAGATTCTCTTCATGTCCCATGAACTGCAGCAAAAAGCTGCCTCACTACTGTAGCTGTTTTTAGTGGACCTATCCCTGTGATAGCGCCTTTCAACTCATTCCCAGCCTGCTGCAGAGGCAGCTTAAAGTTGCATTCATCTAATGGCTGATCGCTTAGCAACCATTTGAAGTTATAACGAACCCTTAAAAATCTACTTATGACCTGGCTTTAAAGTTCCAACATTGCTGCTGCCTCCCCCTCCCCCCCATGGTCATACCACTGCCTTTTGGATGCTTGGCAACTGGCCCCCATTTACAGCTGTTTGCAGTGCCCCATGGTAAGATCACTGTGATTTATAGCATTTTTGCCAGAAACTGGCTTTTATGTACAGTTTCTGGCAAAACCTGCCTCATAGCAGACAACGGATTTGATTAACAACAATTGCAAAAAAGTGGTAAAATCAGGTCCAGTCACATTGTGACCTACTTTATGATCATGATTTAAGTCCATGTTTCCAGGGCTCAGTTATGGTCATAACTTGAGGGTTGCTGTATTCTAGTATTAAAGTAGTATTTTCCTCCTCCTCTGACCCAAATTCTGCTGTGGACACCATAAATGACATCTTGCTAATGAGGGTGCAAATGACAAGGTCAAGGACTGGAATCTGCCTTGGTCCCATGGTTCATTTTAGGTCATATGCCTACTCCAGTCATGCTCACTCCCCTCCAGGCAATCTTGTCACTCAATTAGTTCATTACAGTTTTAGACCAGCACAAGCAATGTATCCATGAGTGTTCTGTTAAGTCTATCTTAACAGACAATAAATAAAATTGAAGACAAAATTAAAATACATTTATAAAACAATCTGACTAGAATCCTTGAGTCCAAAAAGAGTAATTTATGTCTAGGCATAAAATAGTATTTAACATTACATAGAATCATCTCAAACATCTAACATTACAAAAAAATGTGATATCCCAAAGGTGCTTTTTCAAAAGGCAACTGGACTTTCTTAGTTTTTCCTTGAGGACATTTTGCTTCTCATCCAAGAAGCTTCTTCAGAACTGAAGAAGCTTCTTGGGTGAGAAGCGAAACTTCAAGGACAAACAAAGAAAGACCAGTTACATTTTGAAAAAGCACCTTTGGGACAACCATGACCTGGATGACTGAGAATCTCCATAGACAAAAAATGTGATAGTATCTAAAATTTAAGTAGAATGTGATAATATATAAAGTTACAAAAAAGGATAATATCAAAGATTACATAGAATATGTCTGTCTAGTGGGAACTTGGCCAACAGATCTTCTATGTTGCTGTGCAACCCTAGCCACATGTGCTATCATAAAAGGCAGTTCATCTATGAGCAGCATCTTGGCATAAGTTGAGTGAGCAACCAGGATAACTTTTGATCAGAGGGAGGTTAAATCTGGTTCAAGTGTCTGTGTAAAAGGAGCAATGAGGAACATGTTCTGTGGTTTTCACCTCTCCAGAATCACACAGGCAGAGCCTTTTCAGCCAATGATAGTTTTTTATATTTTCCATCCAACATTACAGAGGAGAACACTCCCTTCTAGTTGCTGAGTCCTGCCCTCTGTTATCATTTTGGCTTGGGCAGTCAGAAAGACACAGCACATGGGCAAATGCTACCTAACCAGGCATTATGCAGGCTCCATATGTGGGTTTAGTGCTTTCTTCTCTTTTTAGAAAAAGGATTCTGGGAAATCTTTACAGTGTAGCTCATATGACTTAATTTAAAATATGCTTATGAAAAAGAAAGTCCCATCATATTTATAGGACTTTATTGCCAGGAAAGGACCCACTGAGTTATGATCATTGCCAATTTATCTATTTTGAATTGCAAAAATGTGCTTCTCTGTTGAAGAAAGCTTGCTTCCAGCACCCTCAATCATACATTGTTCTGCTCTGGTACCCAATAGCACTTTGAGAAACATGAGAGATGATGGCACCCAGGAAAGAAGAGGGGGAATAAATGTTTGTAGTTGTGGCTTTTGTGAATAAGCTTAGACTGCTTGGGGCCATGTTTGAGTGCCTTGTTCATCTCTGTGGGAGGATCTGTAGTAGGCAGGCGTAGCAGTACGGCTGGTCTCTCTTTTCAGTGAAAGTGAATAGGACCAATGTTATGAAAGTGTCCCATAATATTTATCATTGTTTGATTTACTGTTTAGACATGGACATGCATTGGTAATGGCTGGAAATATAGCATTTATATTTGGGGGCTGCTCCTTTTATAATACTTCTGTAAGTACCAGTTTTCTTTGTTATCTCTTGTTAATTTGATCACTATTTGGCATCAGTTCTCAAGCTGTAATAAATTGCATGCTTCATGCACTTTTTACTATTTGATAAGATCTTCTCTCTCCTGTCACTGGGCTTAAGAATCACAACATTCTGGTCATTGTCTATTAATATCTCATAGATACGCCTGTTCTGTCTAGATAATTGTTTGGCTATTATTTCTAATGCAACTCACTCGAGAGAGTTAAGCTACACTTTAATTTTAAAATCTTTCCTTGTCTAGATGACAATATTGATGACCTTTGAATAAAACAACAACTTCAGTCTCTTTCTTTCTTTGTTTCTTTCTCAGGATGATCAACCAACATATTTCAATGACTTCTACATGCTGACAAGTGAGATACTATTCATCTTTTCTAGCAGACAGCATGTTCAGGAGTTTATTTGTCTCTTTGGAGATACACATCTTTCACTGAAATAGAGAGCAGTTATTTGTAATGCAGAAAAAGGGTTCTGTTATAAAATAGTGGAATTTAATTGTAAACAATAGAAGAAGGAATAGTTTGAGAACAATGCCAGTGTTTCCCCTGTATGCCCCTCCTAATATAAAAAGTTGTACAAAAATAAATAGATTGTGTTGCAGAGTGTATCTTCTGCAGGTTTTTGAGGGAGAGGTTACTTGATTTGTTACAATAACTTGGCTCTGGACTCACATTGTTTTAACAAGATTTGTTGAATAAATTTCTAATGCATGGATTAATACATCATGTTCAACCATAAACCATGGTTTGTAAATATAATGTCTAGATTAATGCAACATGTTAGGAATCAAGTAATACAAAAACTAAATGAATAAATGCCAAGCATAGACTAATTAAAACACATTATGCCTTAGAGCAATTGGATTCATACATAGTGTCATAGCAACATGATGCTGCTTTTATCATTTTAATAAAAAAAATGGAGTCTGCAGATGCCTCTGTATTCTGCTAAGTGGATCCAATATTTTTTCTTGAATATTTGATTGTTTGATGTTCGTTATTCAGTATTTCATGAAACATGTTCTGAATGTCACAGTACTTGATAGGATCACTGCCTAATTGAGTATCTGCATGTCAGCAAAGACTGAACATCACAAATGATATTAAACTCTGATTTTGCTATTATGGATTGTTTTCTAACTACAGTTATCTGCACTATTACAACACTGCAAAGCAAAACCAAAGAAACCACATTCTGACTCTGCATGATGCGTGAAACTATCCACTCATTCCCCAAATACAGTATATAGTGGAAATATTTCCTCTCCTCCTTCTCTAATATTTTCCTGAAGTAGCCATCAGTTTCTTCAGAAATAAGATATTTTCTCCTATAGATAAGAATAATCAGCCTTTTTATATACCATAGTATAATAATCAAAATGTGGATCTTACAAATGAAATATCTAGTCTTGCTTTTCTTAGAGGGAAATAACTGTGTGAACTCACATCACAATCATTTCTTTAAATTTGGAAATCGTACTTAGATACCAATGCTTTTTGTTGGTGTGTACACATCCACACATATAGTTATATATATATAATGATGTATTTAATGATGGTGGTAATCTTAAATATCTCCCTAATTTTCAGTTACTCTGACTGATTTGATGTGGGAAAGGATACCACAGGATGGACACATTCCTTGCCCACGACAAGGGCACTCACTTAGGTAAGCAAGCAATTCAGAAAAAAGAATATGTATCCATCATTTCTGGGTATAGAGATATAAAATGAAACTAAGTTATTTCACAAGCTCAAAACAAAGGAGGGGAGATTAGCAATGGATGTAAACTGAATTTCATGCATTCTGAGTTTCATAGAAGTTATTCTAATTGCTCAGAAAATCAGAAATCTTACTTTATATTGCTTCTGATTTAGTACTTTCCATTTACAGTAGGTACTGATCATATATCCAGAAGGAGACCATCTTAGCCACATCTGGTTTAAAACACCAAAGAGCTAGAAAGAAGTAGGTGGACATTAAATAGCCACCTGTTGTTATACGAAAGTCTTCCAGCACTGCATTGAGGGTACTGCATTGCAGAAGACTGTTCTACAGCATTGAGCTCAAGCAATTGAGTTCAACCTAAAGAAAGGAAAGCACGAATACTTTCTCCAGAAATACTGGTGAAGCTAAGATGAATTTGATTATAGCTAAACATACATGAATTCCAAGATGTCTGAAATGGTATAGGGTTTCCTGCCTGAACAGTGGGATGGACTAGGAGACCTCCAAGGTCCCTTCCAACTCTATTATTATTATTATTATTATTACTAGCTGTACCCGGCCACGCGTTGCTGTGGCTGTCTCGTTAAATGGAAAAGAAAGAAAAGAGAAAGCGTACGTTTGTAGTATGTTTAATTTCACAATGCTTGTTGGAATCGTAAAATCGTAGCATGTGTTGCTTTTACGTCCAACAGATGGCGCTGTTTTTCAAAAAAAGCATGTTTTTACCTGTCACAGGTGTGACATCTATATAATAGTAGGTATATAAAAACACGCGCGTATTCGAATGCAACATTGTTTCAAAATTTCAAAGCAATCGGTGAACTTTCGGAGATTTAAGATTTTGAACAAACGAACATTTACATTTTTATTTATATAGATTATTATTATTGTTGTTATTGTTGTTGTTGTTGTTATTATTATTATTATTATTATTATTATTATTATTATTCATTGTATTGTCCATTCATTTGTAAGGCACCAAATAGTTTGTATTCCACCAAATAGTTTATCTCAGTTGGTTAGTTCTTGGTAAGGAATCCATATTTATGATTGTGCATGGATGTCCACCCTTTATTGTCATCCATAATAGTTCCATTTTAATGCAATTTTCCCTATAGGAAAACTCTTGGGGATTTCAGCAATGGACATTGTACAGTCTCTGTGCTCAAGCTTTGCTCAGCTGGGAATAACAAAACTGCATTCCAGTACCCCTTAGGAGCCCTGAGAGTTCCATCAGCCAAGAAAGCAATTGCACCAAATCAGACATGGTATCAGATTGACTTTAAGTCTCATTATCTCCAGGGAGGATGAAGGCTACTAAAATCTAAAGGCCATTGTCTACCTCAATTTTTTCAGCAGTTCAAATATGTAAAAGCAAAAGCAAAAAATGCTGGTTATTCAATGGTCAGAAAATCCATAATAAATTTTAAGTTAGCTTCAATTGAATTTTGGTGCAAACAGTTGAAATGGAATCTATCCAAGCTTTCTCCAGAATAATGCCATTATGATAAATGGAGCTTGTTCTTTGGTAAAGAGAACAAGGCATGCTAGATTATAACACAAAGTGCTACTAGTTTGCTCTAACTGATTCCTGTTACAATGAATATATCAATATTGGCATGTAGTGAAAATGAACTATTTTCGGCATAGGACAAGGGTAGGCAACCTTGGCTCTTTTATGACTCGTGGACTTCAACTCCCAGAATCCCTGATGCTGGCTCAGGAATTCTGGCAGTTGAAGTCCACAAGTCATAAAAGAGCCAAGGTTGCCTACCCCTGGCATAGGAGATTCATGGAGCTTTTTTTCTCTTTTAAAAGTCCATTATAGGTAAAATGGCTAGACTATATATTATTTTAGGTGAATGTTTGAAAACATATCTTCTTGGCTTAGGAAATGTTTAACATCTAGATGCTGGATTCATTATTGTTCACTTACAAATTTATTAGGGAGTATATAGATTTCCAAACATCATGCATTTCTTCGCCCACTCTAGCATGGCAAAATCAAGAATCTCATACAAAGCTGTATGAGATAAGCCATATGAGGAATTTCATTTCCCGCCCACCCCTCCAAATGGATTTTAAAAAACAGTGGATATGGATTTGTATTTATTGATAGAGAACTTTAAAAATACCTAGGAAGATATACTTAGAAATAACAGTAAACTGACCACTCCACTAAACAGTGGTTGGCTTACACAATTATACAATCTCCAATGGCCTCTGAGACATATATAGCTATAGCATATAAGGCTATATCAGGGGTCTTCAAACTTGGCCCTTTTATGACTTGTGGACTTCAACTCCCAGAATTCCTCAGCCAGAGTACCTGGCTGAGGAATTCTGGGAGTTGAAGTCCACAAGTCATAAAAGGGCCAAGTTTGAAGATCCCTGGGCTATATAGACTTCCATAGGTGCTTCACATGACAAGTGCCACAAGCTGTTCAAGTTTAGGAGGTCTCTATAATGTACACATCACTGGAAGCCTTTCTTGAAAAGGCAATTGCAGTGTGGCATAGATCAAATTGTCTAGAACTGCTATTGCTGAACATAAACTTTTCTGCTAGTGAGGCGTTACACACTAAATGCTTCAAACCACCATGAAAGACCAGAAAGTAATTTTCATGTGTAATTCGTCCCTATTCATTACCTCCAAGTTTATAATTCTGCTTCCATTTAGACCTGTTTCTTTCAATACGCAAGCGTAGCTTTATACTTTAGAAAGTATGTGTAAGGATGAGGTGAGATAGTATACAGTTTAAAGAATTTATCCACTTTCTCAAGAGATGTTTCACTTCATCTGCAATAAAACTACAGCTGTTTTCCAACTGCCTTCTTCATGCCAGGTGATTTGTTATGGAATCAACCACCTTTTTCCTTTAGTTTTTAAGAAAGCATTTTTTGGGGGAGGAGGAACCCATTTCTTGATCTAATTGTGAAAAAAAAAGGTTACACAGTTTGTGTATCGAATTAGCCACAGTTATTCATATATTCCAATTCTTTTGGAAGTCATCAAGGCTATGCATGGGTGAACACACACCCAAATTATAAAAACACTAGTTATAGAAATATAAGCTGCACCAAAATAAAACCAGTCAGAAGGTAGATCACATTTGGGCATCCTATGATCTACAAATGACCTGTAGCCCTCATCTGGCTTCCATATGGCCCTTGTCCCCTCCCTGCTTCTCACCTGATTCCATTGCCCAGCTGATGAATGCTAGAAACAGCCTGGAAATACACCCACATTGTCATAATCTTCAGTTTTTCCTAACATTCATCAGCTGGGCAGTTGTTGGAGGCACATCATGGAATCCTGCCAGCACTCCTGGTTGTTGAGGATCAAAAACCTCTCCACTCCCAAATTAGATTATTGATACAATTGTGTGATGTATATTACAGATCAGCAATATTCTTTAAGGAATCAAGTGTTTATTTTTCTACAGAAAATTCTAACCAAGGGGGCAGGGAGAGACAGAAGTTTTATGGATGACTTTAACATTTCAACTTTGCTTTATAGTGTAGTAAAAGGCAAGATATATTTATTTGGAGGTTGTTCAAGCAAGAATGCTGAGTATTGCCTTCCAGGAGTCTATGTCTTTGATCTTGGTAAGTAAAAACATAAATTTACCAGGATTTATAGTTCATTTAGTTAATGGCTAGTCAGAAGCATTCTTGTTCATGTTTTGTAAAAAACATTTCTTATCCTAGTACATTAATACTTAAGATCAGCAATGACAATCCACCAGGGTGGCTTCTGATGATCCCATCCATTTTATAAAAGGGCAAATTAGTATTTGCTGTGTATCTACAGCATGGTAGGGATTCTACTAGCTTTGTTGAATGACCTGAACCTTTTAAAATTGAAACAGGAGTTTTAAACAAAAATCTGATTTAGTATTGGGACCCATTTCAACACTTACAGTACGGTATCCCTCTAGTAACATTATTTATTCTTTCTATTCATGGAAAATTGGATCTCATTCTGCACAGATATATTACAGAGTGATTGAGCAAATGAAAGACAAATGCCCTTTGATTAGATCCATGGCATAAAGCTTTGGAGCTTACTTTCTCATGGCACCTAGAGAGCTGAAAGGAATGTATCTCATTTAAAAACAACTCCCTTTAAGATATAACTTTGCTCACTGAAGGTGATTTGGCTCTAAGTTTAGATTCCCTACTGAGAATGTTTCAAATAAAAGGTTCGCTCAGTCCTAAATGTAAGTTTGTAATCCACTGTACCGTAGATCCAACTTTAGCCTGATTTGTTCCAGAAGAGAAAATGCTTTAATCTTCTATGGGCCTCATGCAGGGCAACATGCCAGTCCTAATTTTGGCAATAGTTGTAAGACTTTGCTATGCAAATAAACATGGACTACCTTCTTGAGAAGCAAATGTAGATTTTCTCAAAGCTATTGTACAACATTATATGTGTGGGGGGTTTGAAAGAGCTTTTAGAGGAACTTCCATCATCCTAGTGATATTAAGATATTTTGGAGTTCAACAAATGTATACATTACAGCCATAAACGGAGTATGTTTTCAACATCCCTGATTAACAGCAGTTCCTGATTAGTTAGTAGAAGCAGAAAAAACACAGCCTGACAATTTGATAAGGGGAACCTATCAAATTTGCAGATGATACTAAGCTGTAGGAATAGCCAGCACCCTAGATGATAGGTTGAAGATCCAGATGGATCTCGACAGACCTGAACACTGGAACCTATCTAACAAAATGAAATTCAACATAGAGAAAACCAAAGACTTACACTTAGGCAAGAAAAACCAAAAGTATAGATTAGGTGAAACCTGGCTTAATAGCACTAACTGTGAGAGGGATTTTGGAGTCCTAGTGGACAATCAAATATGAGCCAGCAGTGTCCAGTGGCAGCCAAAAAAAGCCAATGTAATCCTATCTTGCACTTTCAGAGCGATTGAATCAAGATCCTGCGTGGTACTAGTACTGCTCTATAAAACCTTAGTAAGGCCACACTTAGAATACTGCATCCAGTTTTGGTTACCACATTATAAAAAAGATGTTGAGACTCTAGAAAAAGTGCAGAGAAGAGCAACAAACATGATTAGGAGCCTGAAGGCTAAAACATATGAAGATATATAAAGCATATGAAGAACAGTTGCAAGAAGTGGGCATGGGTAGATTCAGGACCAAGGGTGACATGATAGCAGTGTTCCAATATTTGAGGTGCTGTCACAGAGAGGAGAGGGACAACCTATTTTCCAAAACACCCAAAGGACATACAAGAAGCTGGATGGAAACTGATCAAGGAAAGATTCAACCTAGAAATAAGGAGAAATTTTCTAACAGAACAATCAACCAATGGAACAGCTTGCCTTCAGAAGTTGTGGGTGCTTCATCACTGGAGGCTTTCAAGAAGAAACTGGACAGCCACTTGTCAGAAATGGTTTGGGTCTCCTGCTTCAGTAGGGAGTTGGACTAGATGACCTACCTACAAGATCCCTTTCAACTCTGTTATTCTGTATTCTTTATGTATATTTTTTTTCATCTGTATTCCCATTCATCTGCATCCTAGCCAATGAGTACATAGGTTTATGTCATTCTTAGCTATACCACAGTTACAGTAGTGTTTCTCACTTAAACTGGCAATGGCAAGTTGCAGTTAAAAGATGTATACAATCTGTTACTCTTCATCACTCGTTATATTAGAGGTGAATCAGATGATCAATAGCAGATGGGAACAAAATGACCTTCATCCACTCATGCTGATGTGGGTATGTCTTCTTCCATCTGTTCCCTGATATCAGGTCCAGCCTAAGAACAACATAGAACAATCCAGCCAAAGTTCCATTCTTTATTGTTTACACCCAACAGACGGACTCTTGCAAGACTAAACTCGTACTACTCTCACCCCAACAGATACATTCTGAGAGATTCTAGAGGCACGAGTGTCACGTGACGTACTGTGATATATTGTGACATTTTTTGCCTTTGCAGAGCCGGGGTGGGCATGGCCTATGCGTGATGCATCCGGCCCGTGGGCCGCCAGTTTGACAGCCATGTTCTAGGGAGTGGCTGTCCTAAATTTCTTCTTCTGTCTCCTGTTCATCTCTGGGTGCTGTTGCCTCTTGTCTCAGCCTCCTCTTTGAAATATGTTCTATTCTTCCTGAGAAACTTCATTGTAGTCCATCATACCATCTCCCCATCCGTAGGCACCATTCCTCACATCTGACCAGTTTCATTTGCCATCATTCTGCTGATGTCTCTAAAGTGCAAGTCCCAGTAATGGAGCTTTAAATATTCTAACATTGAAATTATGTAATGGTGTAATGTGTCAACAGGCTAAAATAGCATAACACTGAAAAGGCAGGGCTAATTCTTCTCCACTGTTTCCTCCCAAACAAAATTTGGGAGAATCCGGAGGTCATAATGTATTGTCTATATTAGGCTAAAACTGGTTAGGCAAAGACTAGACAAGACAGAACCACTTGTAAACACAGAACAAATGTATAATACATTAGGCTGATCTTTTGCACATATATTACTCTTTTCATATCTATAATAAAAACTATTCAATAGTGTCCTTGGAGCAGCTACAATTAGCTACTGAGTACAGGGCTGAATTTCTGGAGAGAAGAGATGTATTGACATGTGTGATATAAATATTAATGCATGTAAAGAAAGAAGAGAAATTGTGCTGCTAGTGATTCAACTTACTTCAAGATCCATATATATATGATTACAATTGAATGGGAAGGAGCACAAGAAGGAGCCTAATGAACATAGTCCCATAGTCAGACCTGCCCCATTTCTACTGCAGGGCTGGAACTATGGATTCTTTTTTCCCACAGATTAGCAGTAGAAGACAAAGGAAAGCAAAGACAGTGGAATCAAATCATTGCTTTAGTAATTATGTACACTGCAAATATAATCACAATAGTACCTTGGAGCAAGGAGTCAGAGGCAACAGAGGCAGAATAGGCTTCCACAATGGGGTCACAAAATGTCATGCTAGAGTAGTTTTCTGTTGACCCAAGGAGGGGTGGATCATACTTTCACCCAATAGTGGGGAAAGGCTTTCTAAAGGAGATCAGGACTTCTACTTTGCAGAACAAGTTGCAGAACAAGAGAGAGGGTATAATATGTAGAGATAGAGGGCAGACACATAGATAATAGTTCCTGCAGTGAATATCTGTGAACCATCACAGAGTAATTATAAAACATAATGTTGTTGAATGTAGAACCCCAGATTTTTTCATTGCTTTGAGATCCTTTTCATATTTTGTCTGGTATCACTGCTTAACAGTATATCAGATTGCTCTTAATCCATAGTTTACCCTACACAGGTTTATATTATTGCACAGCAACTGGCATAATCCAGCAAGAAAAATATTCAATCAGTCATGATGAGGGAGGGAGGGAGGGAGGAAGTTCTTGTGATATAGTATTAGAAGATCTCTGATGTCCCTCCCCCCTTTTAGCACCTCATTGGCTCCATTGGGGAGGCAGGAATCCTTCAGGATAAAGGAAGACGCCTAGGAAGGGATCTACATATTGGAGGGAAATCTTCTTTCCAGATTCCACAGGCACCTCAGGATCAAAGCCCAGGACAGGATCACCTCAATTTGCATAGGAAGGACAATTACCTTTGGACAAAGACATTAGAACCACCACATATACAAACCACGCCCCCCCCAAGTCCACAGCAAGGACCAGTCCCTCTATAAAACCAAGTCTCTGGACCTCATTTTCTCTGTAGTCTACCCCAAAAAACAAATCTCTTCGCTTTTGAGAATAAAGGAAGGAGAGAATCTCCTCTCACAGTAATTGGATTTCATTTTTTATTTGTTCTTGAGAACAGGGATTTGTTCTTGTACAACCCGGCTTGCAGTACCTCCAAATTATTCTTCTAACAATAGTATATCCTTTCTTTAAAGAACTGGTGTCCCTGGGCTTCATTTGTAATCCAGTGTTTCTGAATTATGCACAGTGATTTATAACGCTGGCTTTCCAACTAAAGAATTCACTGATCCATTACAAATACTACATTAAATAATAATTTAGCATTGCATCCATAAACTGTGGCTATGCAACTTTCTTTGCCTCTTTCTCTGGCATAGCTTTGAGGAAGAAATTGGAAATTATGCTTCTGTTTTTAATTGGGTTTTTTTTCATCTTGTCCAAACTCATAGGGTTGTTAATTTTAAAGTAAAATTAGAGCAGTCTTATGGCCTGGTCTACACCACCTTAAATTCTAAGTCAGCCTGATCATTATCCAATCTGGCTGAGATTCAGACAAAATAATAAGCTCCTGTTAAAAGGGGAAGACAATGTTTCCAAACTCTTTACTGCCCAAAGTTTATCTACATAATAATAGCATTATGTTACATATGAATGAGGCTATTTTTGTATGGGGACAATAACTGAACATAGAGATTAGATCCCTTTTCTCTATCTAGTTAGGGTCACAATATACATAAGCATGAGTCTATATTGTGCAATTTTAAAAAGCTCAATCATAAATTGGGGAATATCATTTTAACACAGAATAGCAATATAAGAAAAGAGGTGGATGCTTTTATGAAATGATCAGTGATTCCCACACCTCCAATTTCTATTTCCACTGTGCATGATGGATAAGTTTAATGCATTGCTTTTATTTAACTTGCATCTCATGTTACAGTTCAAGAAAACTATTTATGCTCATAGCAGATAAATGGATGGATGGATGGATGGATGGATGGATGGATGGATGGATGGATGGATGGATGGATNTTTGCAGGAAAGAGCAGAGGAGACAAGGGCCTGAGCACAGGGGCAGTAGATTTTTATACCCTCTCTAGCCTTTTGTTTGGAAGTTTCCTGTTCCTGTGGCATGAACTTTGAGGCTATTTCCTGTGTCACGTATTCTGACCTGAGCCTAGGTGTACCTCTCTGGTATACTTGATGGTAATGGGTTAGTCCTATTATGTCCTAAAAGTCATATACTGCTTCCCTGGGACTGGGCTAATGACTTAGAGTTTGGGTGAGGTATGCAGATTTTCTCTTTGTCTTCTTGAGTTCTCTGGCTCCAACTTTCTGATGGTTTTACATCTGCATTTGTATAGGGCTGGCTCCTGCTTGGGGACAGAGAGATTTGGGGGCAGGTTTCTGCTTTTCAAAAAATGCTTTTAAAAATCCTTTTGGAGAAAAATATATTTTTCTCCTCTTTTAATATTTCCTTCTCTGGGGCTAACTTCCCTCAGATAGATAGATAGATGGATAGATGAATAGATAGATATTTCATTCTAGTATTTTTTCAGGGATATATTGTTATGATTTTCTTCCAGGGAATATCGCCAATTTAGAGATTATGCCGACTGAAAAGTAAAGTTGAGTTTTTAAGTAAAGAAAATGGATATAGCCTACAGTCTCAGGAACAGATCCATTGTTATGACTGGACTATAGGTTGGGTTGGAACTGGTAATCATGAAAGTGTGAGATTTAAAAACCCCAAACTTCGATACTCACAATACGAAGACAAGTCTGGTTAACAAAACAAAGTTTTATTGGAGAAAAACATAAAAATAATAATAAGAAAAGAAAAGAAAAGCGTTTGCAAATGCAGCCTCCTTGACCCTTCCCAAGTTGGATTGAGTTCAAAGAGCGCAAAGAGCAGCTTTCAGGCCACACAATTTATACCTTTTACAATGCACGTCACGCCCAAGAAACCCTCCCAACTCCCCCTCTCTACCTTCTCTAGTCATTCTTTGAAGTTGCTCTACACCCAAAAAGGTCATCCTGGCAATTTCCGTCCATCTGCTGTGACCCCATCTTTGTTTATTTGTAATTTCCACCTTGTGATCTTATCTTTGTTTATTTGTAATTTCCACCTTGTGATCTTATCTTATCTTCCCCATAGTGATTTCTACTCAAGGCCTAAGTTCCTGTTCTCTTAGGTACCCCCAGTAGGTCATAATTCATTGTCTTTGCTGATTACTTTTTGTGGTCACTTTGCATTAGGCAGGAAACAGTAAACAGACAGTCTTATACATTGGCATTACAATGCTACATTTGCACTACATTATTACAATTTATAAAAGAATAACTTTTATTTTTTTCCTTCAATTGGTCTATCAAGAAGGAACAACTCTTTCACTGTTGCAGAGCAGCATATAGTAGCAGAATTCGCCCTCTTATTTTTCAAAGAAGCTGCAGAAAGGTTGGGTTCACATAACCCAGTTTTCTGAGTTTGTGCAACACAATGAACGATAGGTTAAGTAATCACAACCTTCCAGAATAAATGTAGATGGTGAGGTAGTAGTTCAGTTTGTTGTGGAATATATTAAGTAAATCCAACCAGTATAATTAAGGTTCACTGTGTCATGCAATCTTAGGCAATTGAATTAATTTAGTAAACTATGATTCAGTTAATCATGAAGCCAAACCCTGTATTTCACAACTAAAATTTCAAGACAGATTATTTACAAGTAATTCCTGCACTGTTTATACATTGCAGCTCCAAAACACAAAGTACTTGAAGATAAAAATGAACTTCAATTCCTTTCTCCTCTCTGTAAGGAACTAGATGGTCACAATACCACTAGATGCAACATGATAGATGCTGTTTCTGAGGATGTGCCATTTATGGTCCACCAACTGCATGTGTCTTTCAGGTTTTTCTTTTGAAGCTCCAGAGCCATTTCAGTGCCAAATTTCCACAGGATGGTTTTCTGCTGATAATTGGTGGAAAATTAGTATTTAAAATGTAAAAAAGGCTTTTTTAAATATTATTTGTTTTTTTTAAAAAAAAATATAGAACTATTTGCATTGGGGGTATTGTTGATGATGATGATGATGATGATGATGATGATGATGATGATGACGACGACGACAGCTTAATGCTGGGCTTCCCTCCTCCGTCCAATGTCTTTATTCACTAGGCACATTTTGAGAGCATGTTATGCTATGTGATTCATGGTGGTAGAGAGCACAAAGTGACATATGCAGTCACAAAACAAAACAGTCTTAACTGGTTGTAGAATCCCAAAATTGCTCCAAAGCACTGGTGTCCATGAACATTATAGAATCCCAAAATTGCTCCAAAGCACTGGTGTCCATGAACATTATTTTAAGGATCCTGCTTTCAGAAATTCCTTCTCTTGGTCCTCCTATTCTCTTTGTACCTCTACGTTCAGCAATCCTGCTTTTTGTGGCACTAGGAAGGAAATAATTTATAATGTACCTGTCCATAATGTAGACATCCCCCAGACCTCCTCATTGACACTGTTCATGTAATAAATCAGGCAATCCTAATTTGCCTAGAGATGCAGAGAAAATGCTATCCATTCTCACTGACCTTTTGGTACCTTCAAAACCTCAAAGGACTTCAGCAGGGGCATTTAGAAGAGGGAGGGGTGGATAGACACATTCATTTACAAAGCAGCTTCAAAGGGGTAGCTCAGTCAAAGCATGGTTGAAGCGAAGCAGCCTTTCACTGATGCCTGACACAGTTTTAATTGAGAGGGCTGAATTAAAGAGCAGCTCTTTACCTAAAAAAATACATTGTCAGTGAAGGGATCCAGCTTTTAAAACAGCAATTTGCAGAAGACATATGGAAGGTAAAAAAAAAATAGTCTGCTCTGTAGCATTTGTTCCAGTGGTTGTATTCTGTGAAAGAAACAGAATAAGAAAATGGCTTCTGCCCAAGCCAACTTCAAAATAAGAAAGTAATTTACTTTTCCCCCCCTCCTTATCTTAAGATTCTCTAACCTGGCAGAAAATCTCAATTAGTGGTCTTGCTCCTCAAACTCTTGAACACAGTTCAGCTGTAGTAGGCGAAAACATCTTTGTCTATGGTGGCATGGAAGATGGTAAAGCAGTGGATGATCTCTATATGTTCAACACAGGTGGGTGCAACTAAATCCTCACAGGACAATGTAGTTTGCTGTATGTCAGTTGCTCCAGACTTATTTAAGATGCAGCATATATTCGTAAAACAAATGCAGGTAGAAATGCCAATTTGGTCTAGTGGTTAAGGCACCAGGCTAGAAATCGGGTAGACCATGAGTTCAAGTCCCGCCTTAGCCATGAAAGCCAGATGGGTGACCTTGGGCCAGTCACTCTCTCTCTCTCAGCCCAACTCACCTCACAAAGCTGTTGTTGTGGGGAAAATAGGAGGAGGAAGGTTTTGGATATGTTTGCCCTATTTTTAAAAATAATAAAGGCCGATATAAATAACATAAAAATACATAACAAATAAATAAATAAGATTAAAATATAACACTTGATTTCTTATTTCTGTCAACCCGCAGTGCAGGTTTGTGTAGATTCCATTATTACTTGCCCGAGAGTTTATCCTACTTATAGCAAATGTGTTGATCCATTGAATTAAATTCTACTTTACACATGCCTAAAAATGAGTCTAGCTGTATATTCCTGTATTGGCCACCAACCAATCATGTTAAATGTGTTCTACAACTATTTATAGGCAACTACCAGGGAAATTTCTGTGAGAAGTAGTTTTGTATGTTTTTTGCTCCCTATGTCATATTTTCAAACATTTATAAATGATTTACTATATCCCAGCACTCCTGTTCATTATTGCTCATAGCATCTTAGAAGTATTCTTGCCATGCTAATATTTCATATTGGCATTTAGTGTCTCACTGTTGGACTCCGGTGAAAACCTTTGGTTTAAACCCTGGTGCCAGGTAAGTGACTATTTTATTCTTCTTTCAGCCTTTTTGTGTAAAAAAAGAGATCTTAGTCCTGTATTCTTTTACTTTAGTTGTCAAAGAATCTGTAAATGACAAATCTCTAAAGCAGAGGTGGACAATATTGTGTGGCGTGGATCACACTTAATGTTTGGAGGTTGCCTGATTCAAAAAGAGGAAGCGGCACGGGTGTATATCCATGGGCAGCAACATAATTTTTTTTCTTCTTTTCCCTGGGTTTGCAGTGTAGAGTTGTGTTTTTTATTTGTCCTCAAAACTCTGTTAAATCTGTTTATGAAAGCTTTAAACTTTTATGTAAACCTTACAGTTTTGGCAATCACACAATTTTTAAAAAGGAGTAGAAGCCACAAATTGTCCACGTCTGTTTTAAACCCTTATTCATGGAGCAAATCACACACCACTTATTTATCCACTAAATACTTATTTATCCACCAAATTAACAAAAAAAAGGGGGTGAATTTTGGTTATCTTAGAGCATATGCACCCTGCCCAGTTATTCCAGGACCAGAATGGATCAGCAACACATTTCAGAAGGGCAGGAATGGGTGATCTCATTTTGTACTCACATTTGCATCCTCCAGGTATGATTTCTTAGTGTGGTTTTAAAGTTCTCTTTTTCCTCTTAGATCATGTTGAACATTCATACCCATCTGGGCTTTACTTTATTGTAAGTTAACTTCAGCAGCTTACTGATTATTTCACAGCAAGAGGAGTAATCAATGATTACCATTGTCTTGAATCAGGGGTGTCAAACTGCCGGCCCACGGGCCGGACGTGTCATCCCAAAACCGCGCCCACCCCATTGCCGGCAATGGAGAAAAAGTTCCGATACGTTACGCGACGTCACGTGACATCGCGAGTTTGACATGCCTGTCTTGAATGAACCCTTCTAGTCAGGTGTTTTCCAATAATACTACAGTAACACAATGGTTATAACAGTCTTCTTGTAAATAGAAGGTTGCTGGCTTGAAACGTAACAGAAATATGTTTACTTTTATAACTTATGTTTCCCTAAGCTATCTAGTTTCCTCCAGCCTTTAAAAATGGTGCACCATTTCATTATTTCTCAGGTCACTTGAGATACGAGGATTTTATCTCCTACATGTTTTACCCCTCTGTAAAATGGTAATTTAATCCTCTCTCATTTCAGCCCACATCTGAATCTAACAGCCAAAACTCAGCAGGATTTTCTCCACAATAAAAGATTATCTTGTTAGAGGTGACAAATTTCACAGTTGGCAATCAGTTGCTTGATTGAATCCTTGAAGTTAGTTCTCAGATGTGTCACTTTAGCATATATAGCTGTCCAAGTCTGAGCTGTTGTCAATTTAAACAAAAGGGGAAGTGCCCATTTTCTAGCTCCCTATATCATTAGGTTAATTAATAATAGTTTGCATGTTGTGTTGGCAAGGATGTTGTCTGGTTTCAACAAAATAGTTTAAATTGAGCAAGAAGGCAGTTCAATTATTTGGACTCCATTGTATTTGTCAAGCGAAGAGAATGCAGTAACAGTAACCAATTTGGCAAATATGATGGGAATTAAAATGATTGTACTGCCTCCTGTCATATTTATTTGCAGATCTTTAGTCAAAACTTGTATAGGAGCCACTGGTGGAGATATATTCTGTCCTACCTGCTAATCCGTTGTTTGGACTAATTGGTCCATCTGGGTCACAGTTTGGTTCTGATTTTGGAGCAAGTCATTCACAACTTCATGGTTGATTGGAAGAGTTGGAAAAGATGTATACCTACTGTTTAAACCTTAGCCTCTCAGCACTATTTTCTCCAGTAGTGATGGTTGTAGGCAAAACTAGCTATTAGACATCACACCAGCATTGCATAAACTTAAATCTTAGCTCTCCAGACACTTAACCACTTATTTTAGGTGTGGTTTATTCATCAAAAAGCTCACAAACATGATTCAGCAAGATTTGTCCCTTTACCACAGGTAATAATAAAGGTAGATATTGTTGGAAGTAAAGTCTTCATCCTGGTTCATCCAAGCCGGGGATAAATAAACAACATGGCGACTGCTTTGGGAAGAAGTTTACAGTTTATTGAAGAGGCAGAAAGATGGTTCTTGCAGGAAAGACCAGAGGAAAGAAGGGCTGAGCACATGGGCAGTAGGTTTTTATACCCTCTCTAGCCTTTTGTTTGGAATAGTTTCCTGTTCCTGTGGCATGAACGTTGAGGATATTTCCTGTGTCACGTATTCTGACCTGAGTTTAGGTGTGCCTCTCTGGTATACTTGATGGTAATGGGTTAGTCCTATTATGTCCCATCTCAGGTGGGATATGCAGATTTTAGGTCTTTGTCTTCTGGCTCCAGCTTTCCTGATAGTTTTACATCTGCATTTGTATAGGGCTGGTTCCTGCTGGAGACAGAGAGATTTGGGGGCAGGGTTGGTTTCTGCTTTTAAAAATCCTTTTGAGGAAAAATATATTTTTCTGCCCTTTTAATATTTCCTTCTCTGGGGGGCTCTGACTTCCCACAATATACACACACCAAAGATTTTTAAATTGTAATTCACAGAAATCAAGGCCTACTTATTAAGTCTAGGCTCCAGGATTCAAATTTTAGTCTATTGTTCTAAAAAAAAATAAATAGATACCTGACCTTTCTCCTGATGATCTCGCAAAAAGGCTTATTTACATTAATCTATGTTAGCAGTTTGCTCAAGTCCAGGAAAAACTAGTTTATGTCTCGCCCTCTTCAGTCCTAATGCGGCAGTTACGGACAAAAAAACTTCTAAATTATTCAAGTTGAGATCGTTTTTAGAGGGGTGTTTTAAAAAATTTTTAGGGGGATCCAGGGAGGGCGGGAGGGGGGAGGTTCCCCTTAGGTCAGGACCAGCCATGTCTGGGGGCAGCGAGGGAGCAAAGGTGGGGGGAGAGGGTAGGGGAGTGAAGGAGGAGGGAAGAATCAGTACGGTCAGTGGGAGAGGCAGATATGGTGGGAGCAGAGGACCATATCAGGTTAGGGGAGCACGCACACGCTATTTACAAGCTTGTGGGCGCTCCGGTCCTCAGGTCTCCACTCGGTTCCCGGGAGACTTAGACCCTCCGG